AAACAGCCGTTTTTCAGAGAAAAATAAAAACGGAAAACGGCTGTTTTTTTCTAGCCGTTTTTTCCGTTTTTCTTTTCTAGCTCGTGAAAATTTTAGGTTCAGAATAAAATAATATTAACTCCATTAACTCCAATAATTCTTTCATACTCATTAAATTTAAGTTGTTAAGTTTTGTAACGACTACTTGATGTTTAAATATTTTTAAAGTTTGAAGTATCCTTTTTTTTTGTTATAAGCTAGCTTATAGCTTAGGAGAATAAATAAGTGATTTTTTTGGCTCACTAGTAGCTTAGTAAAGAAATTGAACTTATATGAAATTTTTTGAATTTTTTAGCTTAATTAAAGAAATTTTGCTATCTTCTCGATTTTATTTCATTGACAATGTCATTAGGCATTGAAACTGATACTTAGAAAGTTGAAAAAGATTAATTAAACTTTATTTTTGGTAGTAGCTTAGTAAAGATTACAAAAAATTTTCAAATTCAAAAAAACTTTACTAAGCTAGTAGCTTAGTAACGAGTAGTAGCTTATAACGAAAAAACAGGGTGTGAATAAAAGTTTTTTTAGACACAATACAGTGTAATAAGTTCGTTTTTTGACAACAATTTCAGTATGTGACTAAAACCGTGCATAAAACACAATTTCGGTAGAATTAAAAAAACGGACCCGTTAACGGCCGTTTTTTGGAAAAAAACGGAAACGGCCGTTTTTTAAAAATGCCGTTTTTCAGAAACCCTAATTATAAATGATAAAGAATGCTAATATATTTATAAAATCGATATTTTTTGAAAAAAGCCTACTTTGATCGAAATCAACAATGCTTTAAATTGCATTTTAAAACATATCTAGGTATTATAAATGATAAAGAATGCTTATATTTATAAAATTGATATTTTTTGAAATTAGGCTACTATGATCAAAACCAAAAATGCTTTAAATTGCATTTTAAAACATATCTTGGTATTATAAATGATAAAGAATGCTAATATAGATATAAAATCGATATTTTTTGAAAATTGCCTACTATGATCGAAACCAAAAATGCTTTAAATTGCATTTTAAAACATATCTTGGTATTATAAATGATAAAGAATGCTAATATGGACATAAAAAATTACAGAAGTCCTCGTGTTATTGATCAAGGGACTTAAGCGCATTTTTGTTTTAGCGATTAGTATTTGATTATCTAATTATTTTGCGTTTATTAACAGAACATGAGAAGATTAGAAGATCATTAATTATAGTTTAATTAACAATTTGCTACAGTGAATGTTCATATAGAAAGTCTTTATCATATAACGTTTTTTTTAATTCAAAATCTAACGGTCGATAAATAATTTGAAATTTTCCGCTAAAAGCTGCATTACAAGAACATTAATTATAGTAAAATTAATAATTTGTTGCAATGAATTTCCATACAGAAAGGGTTTATCATTTAACGATTTTTTGAAATTCAAATTTTACAAAAATTTGAAATTATAGAGGTAATGTTGAAATTAAAGAGGTAATATAAAATTTGAGCAGGTTGCACTGAAAACAAAAAGAAAATCATTAATTTTAGCATAAATCCATGGTTTAAAGACTTTTAACCACTCGATGGGCCGATAAATCGAAAGTAACGGAGAAATAATACAAACCCGAGCTCTCTACGATGTCTGGTTAAAAAGTTTTTTTTAAATAGCATAACAAAGTGTATTATTAAGCTACCTTACAAGGAAGAAGTTTCAAAATTGCGCTAAAAATAAAAGCGTGTAATAAAAAAAAGCATTAATTTGATAGATTAAAATTTCAATAAATTAACTTCCACGCAAAAAGCATGTAAGTTTTTAGTTTCGCTCAAAACACACTTTTTTTAATACAGCCAATGAAGGACTCATTTTCAAAAATTTCAAAGGGTACCAAAATGTGTGTTTTAGAAGGTTGAATTTTTCTGTATATAAATATTTATAACTGCTCCACTCCACTCCGTCACATTGAAAAAAATTTGACGAAACACATAGTACTATCCAATGTTAGCAAAGAGAACAGAGTCCGTTACAAACAAAAAAAAATTCAAAATTTTCGCGCAGTATTTTTTTAAAATTTCAAAATAAGAAAGTCCGTTACTTTTTATTTTTTTTAAACTAGGTGTTTTTTAAAGCATTTACATTTAAGGAATGCAATTTCATCACAGTGATTATCTTAATCATAAAAACTAGTAGGAATGTTCACCAAAATTACAAATTACTCGAAAAATAATAATTCACAACGAATTTTTTTAAAAATAAGAACTTCGAAGATTCGGTTTTCGAAAAATAAGAACCTCGAAAATTCGAAGTTCGAATAATAAGAACTCAAAAATTTCTGTTTGCTAGCATTGGAGTACTATAAGATAATATTCTCCAAAATTATGAAAATTATCATTTTTCGATCTCCACTTACTCATTATACGAGAAATTTGGCAACTTTTGTTATCTAACGTAAGTCAAGCGTGGAAGTTCGTGGCTTTCTACGTAAGTTGTGTTTTTTAACGTATTTTTCAAACTTAAGGAAGAATGTCAAATCTTTCTTTATTTCAAATTTGGAATTATTGTAGTTTAAGTTACATTTCTTTGAGTCTTATTTTGACACCAGCCTGAATATGGCTTTAATTCAACTATATCTTGATTAATTATTAATTTTGATGAATGAGATTTACATATATCATGAAAATGTGGCATAAAAAGTTTGAAAAAAGTTGCCGAGCGAGAAAAAAAAAAAAAGCTTTTTTTTAAGCTTATGAACTACGTTAATAAATTATTTTTGAACTGGCTTGTTCGGTGCTGGTGGGCAGCTCATGAAGCCATACTTCACCATGATTTTAAATGCAGTTCCTTGAGGTGCATCCTTTGGGATCTTTCCGGCTTCGTCGACGAAACTGCAGAACTGATTTATTGCTTCTTCAATGTTGGGGATTCTCTTTAGACGTTCTTGAGCTTCTGTGAATTTCTTGAAAAGACTTTCATTCATTACTGCTTCGTTGAGTTTCTCTGCATAACTGATATTATTGATCAGTTGTTGCTGATTAATCTCTTCTTGAAATGTTGCTGATGAGTTACTTGCAGCATTCACTGGATGTGAATGAGCAGAAACTTGATGTCGTTTGCTTAACGATGGAAAATTGTTACTGTCCAAAAGACTTGATATCTGTGGCAGCATTTTGAGTTGTGGTTTGACTCTTGACTTTTCGATTCTTTTGGAATACGAAATGAACGATGGGCACAGTCTATAACTGGCAGCATGATCGCCATTGCAATTAATGCACTTGGCATTTCCATCACGAGTGGATCGTTGACATTGATGTGGTCCGTGAACTTCCGTGCACTTGACGCATCGGAATTTATATCCACAATTTTGAGATGAGTGACCCCAACGTTGGCAGTTGAAGCACTGCGTTGGGCTTTTGTTGCCCTTCTTGATGTTCTCCCACTTGACGATGATGTTGTCGATGTTACGGTGGTTATGATTGAGCACGTTGATGTTCACACTTTCATCTTGAAAATGCACAAGATAAAAGGTGAACTCGGGCTTCTTGACGAGAATTGTCACTTTGACAGCTGAAACCTTGGCTTCTTGAAGTAATCTTAGTACTTCATTCGTTGGTGTTTCGTAAAATCCTTTCAGAACGAATGACTTTGTTTTCTCCGATTTCTCGGAGAAGGTGTGGAATTGAATAGTTTGAGACCGCAGAAGGTTTATTATTGAGGCCTTATCCTCAATAGACTTGACAATTACTTGAGTTGTATTTGATGATGAAATTTTATATGCAGGCATAACCTGCAATTTCAATAGTGAAATTAATTTTCTCACATCCTTGAGACTGCATTGCACAAATATTGGCTTGACTGAAGTTGTTGTTGTGACTGGAACCGATGATTCCTCTTTCTGAGGCGTTTGCTTCCTCTTCTTGGAATTTTCATTAGATTTGATTGAACTTTCGTCCAAATCAATTTTTGGCGACAAATCTTGCTTTCTTTTGGCTTTCCTCATTGTCCTTGAGGAAAACACAACCCTTGGCACTAAGTAAGAAGGTTTTTTTTCCAACTAATAACGACTTGAACACTTTAATTAATTTAATAAAAATTTTTCCACGTTTTTGTGCGCGGGGCTTGAAACTTTTTTTTTCAAACTTAAATTGAACAGGAGATTCAGAAATTTCCCTACAAGAAAAAATAACGAAAAACACAAAAAATATTAACTCAAAAAATGGAATTGATTTTTATTTAAAATAAATAGCGGTTATAAAGAAATATAACTAAGGGGCCATTCACTTATGATGTCCAGTGGGGGGGGGGGGTCAGCAAGAAAAGAACAATAGAAATTCCTGGAAATCAATTGTTCTTTTTTGAAAAATGGCCGTTTATTTTGTACGTCATAAGTGAACGACCCCTAAGTACACGTGGATGTTGTTAATAAATAGTAAAAAGTAAAGTTTAATTTATGATTTAAACCCGCTCCTAAGTATAAAGTCGCAATAAATTATGGAAAATAAGCTCAAAAAAACATTAAAAATCACCTGTTTCACTTGAAATTTTAAATCGCAAAAATTTAATTAAATAAAGCATGTAGGGACTCAATATTCAAAGTACGTGCATTATTTCGCATTATTAGGATGTCTGTTAAAAAATTTGGTTGGCAAATGAAGCTTAAAGATGATTTTATTATCTAAAGCAAATACCGCAAAAAATAGATTTTTTATCCTACTTAACATTTCGATCACAGCTATTGTAAATCATAACCAAATACAATAAATTTGGTATTGCTGAAAAGAAATTACTGTCAACGAATTAAAAACAGAATTTGAGCTCATTGACTGCTGAGTACACAAGTATATTAAGTGGAATATGGCATTTTTAACGCCTATACTAGATGAAAGAAGTATCAGAACTCAGAACTATTAGATAAAAGCCAAGTTTATTGCAGTTATTGCTTAATTTAAAAAGTTTGTTATTTTATTTTTTTTTTTCGAAAATTCAAGTTTATTGCTTTTAATATACATCTATAGGACGGTTCAAATCAATATGTTCAGCACTTAGATCAATTTCATTAAAATTTTTGTATCGCAAATTAATTGATTTTATCAAATTACGTAGATAATCGTGTGAAACATTCTCACTATAATTTTGATTGTTGTACATAACAAAATATCTTTTGGGGCGATTATTTGATGATATACTTCTTTTCAGCCTGGGTGAATTAAAATTATTAAAAAATATACCACTTGAAGGTGTACCGTCTGTTCCAAATTTGATACATTTTCCATTGACGCAATATCTTTTATCTTCGCCTGGTCTGAAGGAACAATTAGTACCAAAAGGAAAATATCCGTGCTCTCCGTTTACCAAGTAAAATCTATGAGCAATGTACTTATCTTGACAAGCAATACGACAGCTTCTGTCAGGATCTTCCAAATTTGGTCCAATTTGCATCCCTCTGCCACTGTAATAATTTTTAAGGGAATAAATTAATAATATTGAACAAATCGGTTGTTCAATTATTGCGCAGCCCCCCCTTTGGTCCAAAATATAATTTTTGTCGTTACGTAATAAGTGAACGGTTCCAAAAAACATTTGCACAATTTACCTTAAACCTCTTACTTTCATCTGATACTTCATACACAAATTTGTTGAATATTCATAAGTAGTTATTATTTTATCACAGGGTATATTTGATGATTCACATAATCGAATGTTAGATGTATAATCATATTTAGAGACGACTGTTTGTAAACCTTTTGAATATTGAACGCATGAAAAGAAACATCCCGATTTGTTTCTCCATCTGTCACGCATCATAATCATAGCAGTTGGACCTGGACTCGAGAAATAATCAGACGTTTGATGAGATGATGATGGTGAATATTGCAAATCTGAGTTATGTCTGACTCGCCAATTCGGTACATAAATGCTTTGTTCACTATAATTTTGTGTAGATTTTAATATAGAAGGAACGCGTGCAGTTGTAGAGGTAATTGGCTGCCTATTTTCTGTAGTATTAATTTTCGTACTTGTTTCTGTTGTTAATTGTAACTTTGTTGAACTTTCACTTGACGTTACTGTTGATGAGACTAATTTTTCTGGCTCTGCTAATTCATTGGTTTCTGTTAGATCTTCCGATATTTCAGTCGAATTATCATAATGAAGTTCGTCATATCTATTAAAATCTCGTGCATTCTCTTGAAGAATATTACGATTTGATGATTTATCATTATTTTCAATTATTAAACTCTCAGGACAGAATGTAGGTTCAAGACGATAGTAATTTTCCGTTGAGTTTTTACATGTGAATTTCTACAAATTTCAACTTTAAATTTAATAAGAAAACTTACGAATTTTGAGTACCCTATTTTTACGTTACTAGCCAGTGGCTTATGGGATGAAAAAAAATTTCAGAGCCACTTTTCTTTACTAAGCTAATGGCTTAGTAACGAGTAGTGGCTTCTAACGTAATAATAGGGTAGTTATTTACCTCACAATTTCCATTGACACAATAATAGCTGTCATCTATGTCGGAGTTTTCATTATGACATATTGTACCATCGGGGAATATCCAACTTCTAGATTTTGTACCATCTTTTGTTTTACAAAATACCTTGCATGAGTCTGAAGCTAAATTTATGTTGAGTAACCAGGATAAATAAAAAGTGTATAAGATAGGTAGTATTAAAAAACTCACGTGTCTTTCCAATTTGCTGAAGACCTCCCCCAATTAAATCCTTGTCGAATTCTTTTGCCCGATCACAGATTTGATTTGCAAATTCAATTATTGTCAATTTTGGAATCGAATAGCATTGTTTTGCGTTACAAGTCTCGTATTTTCGATCTAATCCAATGCACTTTTTATTTGACTTTGTTTCAAGGCAGGTTCGTGTATAAATTTTAAGTCCTACACTTCCTTCTTTTAGTCTTCCCGATTCACCATAAAGACACCCTGATTCGCACTCAGATGAGTTTCCAAAATTTGTCCACTGAGCTGCAGCTTTTACGGGAATATTTTTATTTATTCCATTGTTTGTGTATAGCAGTGTTGGCTCTTGAATTAAACTACTGAATTTTTTCTGTTCTATTAAACTTGACTTTTCAACTGTTTTTAGAGAATTTAACAAATGCTTGTTGCTTATATGTGAATTCTCGGATATTGCATTTGATTTTGATGTACAAACTCCGCTTCGACACCACTAAATAAGATTAGGTAGTAAAGCAATACCTTTTAAGACATTGGTGATTAATTAACATACCATATAATCGCCACAATTTGTCCCTTCTAATGCAGGATGACTAGTCCACGTATAACGATCTCTCTGACAGTGTAAGTCTCTGCATATTTCTCCTATATTCTGATTCTTTGACCTAATACTTTCCTTGCCATATTTTAACATACACTGTTGATCAGAATCAAATCTCTCGCCAGGTAATATCCTTTAAATTTAAAAAAAATTGATATCTTAAATTTAAAAATAAACATATAAGCATGCTTACCCCTCTGCTGAGTGATCTAGATTGGTTCTAAAATTTCCTCGATCAAAAAGACATGTGGCTTGCTGGTTATTCAAAAATGCATCTAAATATTGTTTACTGCATAATGACCAAGTAATTTTTCCACTACCAAGAGTAGGTGACATGATAAAGGAACTTGGATCACATCCATTATCTAAACTATCATGACGCATCCCTAGATTATGACCAATTTCATGTGCTACAACGAATACACTCTCGAAATGCTTTCCTTCATTAATAGTACAGGATGAAACTTGTGTGCACATTCCTGAAACGGGTGCTAATCCTACGACTTGACTGCTAACTTTTCCATTTTTAGATACAACATAAAGATCAAGGCCTGTTAAAATTAATGCGTGATCAAAATGTAGAACATCTTTATCAGATACAGGATTAAGTTTTTTTTGCCACAAACAAAATGAGTTTAAGTATATATCAATGTCGCTGCTACGTCTTAAATCATTCATTTCATTGTGAAGTATTTCTATTCTTTTAAGAACGAAATTAACTTTATAGCCAAGAGAGGGATGATGATAAAGTAGCTGTACGCCATTAATCATTGCAAGAATAAAGCGAATTAAATGCTGTTCGGTATTTGTTGGAAAATTTTTAACCATGTGACGAAACAAATCCTTGTCAACGAAAATTGCAGTTTCAACATGCAATGTCTGCGGAACTGGAAGTTTTGATGTACTTGATTGATAAAATTTGCTCGATGGATATTTTATCAAGGGTGATCGTTTGATTCGTTTTTTTATTAGTTCTTTTGCATTGTCGGGAAGCAGAAACTTATCTTGAGGCTCAAACATAGAATCTTTGATGTCTTTTTCAATCAAAATGTGCGAGCCAATACCAAATCTCTCAGGAAGTGGCTGAATAAAAACATCAGTATTATTCATTCGATAAATTCCACGCTGTGAAGAAAATGAGGAAACAACAATTAAGCGTGAAGCCGGACGTGGCATGCAAAAATCATCAATAAATAAACATTACTTGACTTACAATTTCATGATCACATAAATCAAATGCAGAATTCTCGCTTCGATATAAGCAGTTGCTGAATTTTTGTGCCATATTGAATGAATCGGCAACGAAGCTTGATTGACTTCGATTTCGCGATATATATACAAATGATTTGTCGATAAGATTTTGAGATCTCTTTAAGTTTAGTTGTAAATTATTATCGTCTGTAAGCAGTCAATGTGTATGTTAGTCTCATAGATGAATGCATTTATTATCTTCACACCGTTTTCACCTGTGAATCTACTGGTTTTGTTCAGATTGAAAAATCAGTTTTTCGCATTTTTGGCGCATTTTTGTATACTTGTATACAAAAGGAAGCTTAATAATGCGAAATGTTCGATCGTTCGGGCGAAGAAAAACTTTTTAACTAGACATCGAAGAGAGCTCAGGTTTGTTTTATTAGCTCAGTTATTATCGATTATTATTGATTTTTTTTACTTCATAAGCGCGTGATGAGTACGTTTAAAATTTTGAATTTTTTCCACCGCTTTAAAAATTGTTCATGGTATGTTCAGAAATTCTTTTGAATGAAAAATTCTTTTGATTTCAAGAAAATGGTTAAATGACAAATCCTGTTGAATTCAAGAGTTTTTTGTTGTAAAAATTAATTTATTTTAAGATTTGAATTTTAAAAAACGTTAAAGGACAAAAAACTTTTTGCTGTACCTAATGTTTAATATTTTTTGAAATACAACGAATATGCTTTGATAAAGGCAAAATTTTAGAGCTGTTTGCTTATTGATTCGCATTTTGATGCGATACCTTCAAACCTATGCTGAGTGAAGCTCAGCTGACTCGCTAGCTTTATTCATTCAAACATATGCTGAGTGAAGCTCAGTTGACTCGTCAAGCTTTATACCCTCAAACTTATGCCAAGCAAATCTTGGTCTATCCATAAGACTTTTGTTGGTACGGTGTGAATATATCCGCATTAGGTTTCTACACGATACACTAGTTTACTAAAAGCTTACTTACCATCTCTGATTTTTATATTTATTGTGCTATCTAATTCAACATTTCCAATCTCACTAGATCGTTTCATTCGTCGATGATGCTTTACATTAATTATTTTGTATTTTGATTCTGTAATGATTTTATTGTTTTGTGAAAATTAATCCAATATGCTGGTTAAATTTACTTCCTCATTTTAAGAGATGTTAAAATATTTCATAGGTTGTTAACACTCTATAACAATGGTTAAGGTCAGAGATCTTATATTGTTCAATGCATAATTTTTTCATGCTAAATTAACATTTTTCAACTTTTTTGACACAATTGAAAGAATTTCAGTCATACAATTATTATTTATTTTATTTTCTGTTTTCAAGTAGTTATTCACTTGGCTCACAATGCGTAAAAAATTAATCATTCTTTGCCTAAACCAGCCTAAACTCTCATTATCAGTGTGACAAGATTTATTTAAAATGAAATATGGGGGAATTTTTTGATTATTTCTGAAACTTTTTGACATGCGTCACACAATTATAAGATTTAATGATGAACCTAGTACGTCTCCCCAACTTCTATCATTAGAAGAATAGAAAACTTCTATCATAAAAAAAGTTTTGAATACTATTCTGTATTATACTCAATTAACTTTTTTTTTTTAAAAAAAACATCTTTAAAACAATTATTCGTCATTCTTGCATACAAAATACCATAAATGGGCTAAAAATTACTCAACTAACAATAGAAGTAATTTGAAGAGAACTTCATAAATATAAATTAATTTTTTATAAATCATACTTACTTGACATATCATTTCCGAAAAGTAGTTGCCTTTCGTGACGGTGCAGGTAATCATGCAGATTACTTTCATTTATCTGTTAAGAATAAAAATTAAAATTAACTATTTTTTTTTTTTAATAAAACGAATGCTACAATGCGTGATGTCATTAAACTATAAATATTATCAGAATTTTGGTTCTGACATAGGATTTTATTTTATTTTACGGTTTGTCGCGCATCTTCAATTTTCTTTTCAAAAGTAGGTAATTTATTTTTGTCAACGCACTAAGAGTTAAAAATCTTCATCACCGACCATGAAACATTGAATGGTGCTTTTCGTGTTTGGTTGTATTATTTGATGCAAATTCTACATGAAATTGTTTCAGAGGCATTAGGGCATTGAGTAACAAATAAAAAAAGGGAGGGTGGACGGAATTTTCGTTATTTTTTATTACCAGCTTGATGCCAAAGCTAGGTTTTCTGAAATAAAAAATTTCGTGATATCAGCAGTGTAGGGGTCTGAAGCTGCGTCAAGATCGAGGAGGTGAGGCTACATTGAGCGGATAAAAAACGAGCCTTTTTGAATGGATATTTAAGTATTTAAGTCGAATAAAATGATTGATTATATTAAAGTATATTTAAACTGTGTTTAGACTCTACAAGCAGTACGTTATATATAAACTCCTGCCCAGCTGATCATTCAAGCTGTTTCAACTTTGAGTACATTTATTTTACATAATCATTCAATTTTTGGGAAAATTGAGAGGCGAAAAAATAAAGCACCAACATGAATAATTCATTCTTCTCATTTTTGAGCCAATGAATGCAATGATCTAGGTCAAGTTTTTGTTCATTTTACACACTCGATGATGATTTTTGTTCTCGCCTAACAATTAAACGTCATAAATTTAACAATTTTATTTGCATTTCTATATACGTGCAAGGCAAATTTAAAATGAGCAACAACAAAACAATCGTCATTGATGCTTTAATATTCTGAACTTAGAATAATATTTTTTTTGCGTTGCACTTGACGATTTTCAAGGACAGTCTTCTTTGTTTTGAAGAACATTTATGTTTTTATGCTTATTCACGAGAAACTTAATACAACACAATTGTTCGCTTTTCAAGCATGTCCACGCTCTTTTAATTCTCTTAATTATTCGCATACTGCAAATTTTTCTTTTTTCTTTCTCTTCTTTCAATTTTATTGCACATTGACAAAGATTCCGTTAGAAAAATTCTCTCTTGTTGTTCCTCTTCATTTTAACGTTCTTATTATTTTTATTTCATTCATTCTGAATTATTTATTAAGGAACAGAGTAGCAAGAGACTATTCAAGAAAACTTATGTAATAAGTTTTTTTTTAATTCTTTTGTCATTAAAGTGCACTGACCCATCATGTAAACAGTAGCATTTAATGCTGTGCGAAAAATATTCGTACTTTTTCAATACTAAGCAGGTGCATTGATTGTCACTTTTTGTTAATTTATATTTAAACCTTTATAAATTATGTACAGTAACGTGTCGAATTTTAAATAGACATTGAGGTAATTCATCTGTATGGTGAAATGGCATCAGTGACCTAAATGGTAGAGCGTTGGCCTTACGTGCCAAAGGTCCTGGGTTCAATCCCAGGCCATGTCTAATTTTCGAAGCTCTTTTTCCATTTCACCGTTCTAGTTACGAAGCTCAGTTCGTGTGTTGGGTGTAGTATTGATGTCTTTGGCATAGAATATGCCTCCTTTGCTAGGTATACAAGGATATACTAGCATCTGGATGACTTCCTTACGGCATCTTGCGCACACGGATTGTGACTAGGTACATTGCAGGGTACATCAGGTCTTATGACGTACTCGTGTCTTTGCAATGTACAGAGCTTGCAAGTGGTTCGGATCCCACTATAAACTGTAGGTCTAAAGGGTGTGGTACAATAGATTCTGTTCTAATTTAAATCGCAGTGCCTCCAGCTGAAAGGCTGGGCCCTTCACACATTATATATATATATATATATATATATATATATATATATATATATATATATATAATTCATCTGTATAAAACAAAACATTATTGCAAGATTAATGCTTTAAATATGTACACACATGAGAAAGTTCCGCACGAATTAACATAACATATTAGGGCCTCGACGTTTTTTTAAGGATTTTTGCTTAACGGAAAAAAATAATTTGAATTTTTCACTAACACTAAAAATTCTTGATTATTCAATCGTTAATCCCAAATATTATGATTTGAATACGAAAAGTAGATGATACATTAGCTATTCTGCCTATTTTAAGAGCTTTAACATCATTATTAAGTGATATTTTTATGATTTTTTAAATTTCATTTCAATTTTTGTTTGTAAACAAACATCTCACGAAAGAAAAAATTCAAAAAATTTAAAACCGTTAAAAATTTTTTATCTTAATTTTGTTCATTTAAGTATGTTTCGGGGACAATTTATTATTTTTTTTGAAACCAAATAAAAGAGAATAAAATTTCTGATCTAAAAAAATACATTTGAAGATATATCAATGAAAACTGACAAAGTTATGGCAAAATTCCCAAAAATTATTCGTGAGTGACGCTTAGTTAAAGTGATTTTCCGACATAACTGCTTAACTTTAAGTAGTACTGGAAGTAACTGGAAGTAAGTTGTATGTCAAAAGATAGAATTTTTTTTTTTCCTACAAGATAAAATAACTTTGAAATTTGTCACTGTTGTGGTTTCGGAGATATTTAATATTTTAAAGCGTCACTCACGAATAATTTTTTTCGTCGGGGCCCATTAAATATAATGATTGATTCAGCTTGCTGAATAAAAAGTTGGGAATAATGCATGATCATGAAGATATTTGATTTGAGGAATTTTTCAATTCGTTTATTGATCGTTATGAAATTAACTTTGACAACAATTAAGTGCAGTATTCAAAGTATTAGAAGCATTTGAAATGAACTTTCTCGAAGATTGTAACATAATTTTTTTTTCTAGTGCAATTTCAAGGAAATGTAAGCTAAAATGGTAACAAGACAAAACCATAAAATTAAGAGAAGTTACAGCAAAATGAAAGTTTAATTTCAATGTGTGAAAAATTCTCAAACGCATAAGAAAATTTCTAAGTAGATATTGAATAAAGGCCACGCCAGACAAATATGCATATTCATGAGTTTAGATCATGAGAACATATCATGTAAAGTGAGAAGAATTCACAAAATTTGAATGAAAGAATTGTTAATAATCAGCATATTTAATCATCTGGTATTTATAATATTTTCTATTTAACAATTACTCTTTTCTCACATTTGTTACACATTCATTATATTCAATGTTACAATACACAAATACTACACATTAAACACCTTCCAGGTCAATGAATTACTGATGTTTGTCAACTGTTTTGAACTTTTATCCACGCTGATTTTTCTCGAATATGGAATTATATGAATCTAAAGTCAACGATGCGAAAATTTTAGCGAGCAAATCAAACGCCTGTAAAAGTTCCATCACAAAATATTTTATTTAATTCAAAAACATCATATTACTTGTTAGCTCATTCACATATAACTTCCAATATTTATTTGGGGGAGTCTAAAACACTTCATTGACTATCTTTGTGGTAGCGATTTTTTTTTTCGATGTCTTTAGAGCACATTAAATATAACAGAAATTGCCAAAACTATGTTCAAATCCATTACCATTTAATTTCTTCTCTGCGATGCGAAACGTCATATTCCTTACTAAAGCTATTATGCAAGCTTTAAAGAAAACATGCCGACATGTTTTGTTTTTGGTTTATATGGGTTTATATAAAATAATTATGTTTATCAGACGTCACATCTTAATTCTATTATACTAAATTATTATACATGTCTTCTTTCTTTCTTTCTTTCACTTCATATTTTAATGTAAAACACAATAAATTAATAGCTCAAATTGGAATGAGATCTCACCTCATCATAAAGATGAGTACGAAAAAATGTGAATGCTTTAGCGCGTGAATTATATTTTCTTATGTGCCAGCGGAGGCGCTTATGAAAAAATGTTAATTAATTCTGTTTGATGGAACAGTGCAGTTTACTGCTGTTGGTGTCTAAATCTGTTAAATAACAAAAAATGTAATTAAACACTCGACTCAAAACTTCTTCCTTTCTTTCTCTTTCTTTTAATGAATTTCACTTTCGACCACTAATTTTCTCTGCATTGAAAATTAAAATATTTTACTTCCACCGTAAAGCGTATTACGAAAACAAAATAATAAAATTATAAAGTTAAAAACTATCTGCTGTGCATCTGTCATTAAGGCTTTTGAACTTAAGCTTTTTTCATACTTTTTATGAATAATTTTGCACAGTTTTATGTAAAATAATATTGCTCTCAATTCTTTAAAACGTAATATGTGAAAAAAGCATGAAATTTTAAAAAGATGGTATTCATTGGTAACGGAATCGAATATTCTTTTGAGAAATTCTATTTTGAGACCTCTTTCAGTTTGTCACTCCTTTAATCCCTTTAAAGCTGGGCATAATTTTTTACCGAGTTTAAATTTTTAAAGATGGGTTTTGTGGTGATGGAATAGAGTGGAAACTGGGGTGGGTAAACAACTGACTGGAAGTCTGGAGCCCTCTTTTATGAGGATGTTGCTTCGATTCTCAACAGAGACCGATCTCTCGATCATTATATAGAGTATTGTCGATATGACAAGGATTCGCTCAAGACTCACGACATTACAGGTTTAGATCACTTAATAACAAGTACGATCGTTTAAATATATCAGAAGTTATAGAGCTTAATCGACTAAGAAGTTATTGCAAAATCTCACACCATAGGTTTGTAAGTTCAATATAAAGCTATGGCAAGTTTCAAAAATAACAAAAAGTCTAGTCTATTTTATTGTAATTTTCATTGCTTAGCATATCAATTTTTTGAATATTGAGCAGTACCTTTTGGGAGTTATATTCCAATTTTTTAGTATTAATAATTTCTATCCGATGCGAACTTTGTGAAAACTTAAGTTCCGTGACAAAAATTATGAATATCAAGAACTTGTTTAACGATATGAAATGCATTGTGTTAATTTATATTTTTTATTATCTATGGATGTAAATAAATTCTTCTACATCTTATGTGATTGAATTTTGTTAATCTAATTATTTTCTTTACTAAAACAATAATTTTTAAATAATTTCACAACGCATTATGATTGTTATCGTTTTTTCAACACATGCACTAGATATTTTATTGCCACATATTTTCCACTCGACGGTTTACTTTTTTTTTTTACTTTTTTGATCTGATCAATTTGAATTCCCGCGAGTGACTGACTGTTTTTCACAGAACTACCTTTTTTCTTGCATTGCATTGCACACACACAACTACTAAGTGTCAGAAACAGAGCTTTTTTTGCTGTAACGTTTCATATTGTTACTTTAACCAAGATATATAGATGTGCTCATACAAAAATATCACAGTTTTTAAACGTCAAAAATTTGAATTTTCTAAAAACACTAACATGCACTAACACTATAAAAGAAAATTTTCAATTTTTGTGTTGCAAAATTTTCAACTTTCTGTTAAGTTTTGTTGATACAGGAGTATTGCAAATGCTTTGCTATAATTTAAAGTAACTGACTTAAGTCAAATGTTGTTGCATCTGTCGATATTTAAATGAAAACTTGAAAATAGAAAATTTTAAAAATTTTTGTTTGTATAAGTACACAAAAAATAGTATGGTCGAGTATGGTCAAGTATACTCTGTATGAGCCCATCTATATATCTTGACTTTAACCTTAAATTTTTTTAAAAAGATTTAAGAAGGACTTCAAAGGATAAATGTTGGAACAAAAAATGTTTGGTAAGTAACATTTGGGCAAATCCACGGAGCTGCGGAATTCCAAATATTTGCATTGTAATCTTACTCAACATGCAAATTTTTTCTTCAATTTTCTTAAAATTTTCGTATTTCCTTGCTATAACAGTCAATAATTTAAAATATATACCATTATTATCATTATATGCTATGATAATCAATAATTGTTAGTTAAAATGCTGAATTTCAGTTTGTTTTCTTTTTAGACAAAACCGTTAATGTGACTCAGAAAGAATTTTTTTAAGAAATTAATTAATTTACCTAACAAATAATTTCCATTAAGCATCCATATTTTGTTTAATATTATGATGCAATAAAATCTGTAAAAGGAACAGATTCAGCTAATCATAAAACTCTTTAACTAGCTTCTATTATTCTCTATAGGGTAAATCATAAAATTATGATTTGAAATTAATTTTTATATTCACACCGTTTTCACGTGTGAATCTATTGGTTTTGTTCAGATTGAAAAATCAGTTTTTCGCATTTTGTGAGAAAACAAAGCAAAATTGGTTAAAAAAAGGTCACAGAAGAAAAGTTTGTGCCTGAAATTTTACATCATTTTCAAAAAACAGATTTCAAATTGGTTGTGGCATTGCTGAGAAAATCGCAAAATACGCTTTCTGTAAGCAAACAAGCAAACAAGCAAGCAAGTTAATCAGCAAGAAATCTCAATAACGAGACATTGTAGAGACTTCTAGTTTTTTACATTTGATCCGTGCTGCTCTATAGAAGAGCTGTATTGTTTTTGGGCAAGGTAGGAACAGCCGTTGCTTCAGAAAAAGCAAAAAACTTTCCTTTCTTACGAATTTTTCAAATTAAAATTTCACTGTGATTTTTTTTTATTTTAAATTAAACTTTGGATGAAAAAAATTTTTTTGAGCAAAGAACCAAGAAGAAAATACATTTTCAATTATGAACTTGGGACAGGTCTAGTCAAAATCTAGTTTTTCACTTTTTTTCTTCGAAGGTTTATCCAATTACAGTGAAATTTTGTGTGAGTATACTAATATTTATACAAAACAGTTTTAAATATCTAAATATCAGAAATGTATTCTACATGTCGTCAGATTTAAATTTTATAAATTTGGTTGTACATTCAAAAACAACGTGACTTAAAATTTTGTCCAAAAAAATGATTTTTATTAATTCAGAAATGTGTGACCTGAAGATTAGAATGCTCATACAAAGTTTTACTGTATTTGGATTTATCCTCGAAGAAAAAAGTAAAAAAAAACTAGATTTTGACTGGACCTGTCCCAAGTTCATAATTGATAATGTATTTCCTACTTGGTTCTTTGCTCAAAAAAAACTTAGGATGTTTTTTTTGCATTTGTTTTAAGCACTAGAATATTTACGCAAAGTTTAAATCCATTTTTATAAACCCTCGAAGAAAAAAGTGACAAAATTGATTTTGACTAGGGTCGCCCTTAGTCCTAAATTGAAAATGTATTTCATACTTGGTTCTTTGCTCATAAAAATTTTAGAATGTTTTATTTGTATTTGTTTTTAAGCACTAGAATATTTATGCAAAGTATCAATCCATTTGAATAAACCCTCGAAGAAAAAAGTGACAAAATTGATTTTGACTAGGGTCGCCCTAGTCCAAAATTGAAAATGTATTTCCTACTTGGTTCTTTGCTCAAAAAAATTTTAGGATGTTTTATTTGTATTTGTTTTAAGCACTGGAATATTTATGCAAAGTTTCAATCCATTTTTATAAACCCTCGAAGAAAAAAGTGACAAAATTGATTTTGACTAGGGTCGCCCCTAGTCCAAAATTGAAAATGTATTTCATACTTGGTTCTTTGCTCAGAAAAATTTTAGGATGTTTTATTTGTATTTGTTTTTAAGCACTAGAATATTTATGCAAAGTATCAATCCATTTGAATAAACCCTCGAAGAAAAAAGTGACAAAATTGATTTTGACTAGGGTCGCCCCTAGTCCAAAGTTGAAAATGTATTTCCTACTTGGTTCTTTGCTCAAAAAAGTTTTAGGATGATTTATTTGTATTTGTTTTAAGCACTAGAATATTTACGCAAAGTTTCAATCCATTTGGATAAACCCTCGAAGAAAAAAGTGACAAAATTGATTTTGACTAGGGTCGCCCCTAGACCAAAATTGAAAATGTATTTCCTTCTTGGTTCTTTGCTCCAAAAAATTTTAGGATGTTTTATTTGTATTTGCTTTAAGCACTGAAATATTTACGCAAAGTTTCAATCCATTTGGATAAACCCTCGAAGAAAAAAGTGACAAAATTGATTTTGACTAGGGTCGCCCCTAGTCCAAAGTTGAAATGTATTTCCTTCTTGGTTCTTTGCTCAAAAAAATTTTGGGATGTTTTATTTGTATTTGTTTTAAGCACTAGAATATTTATGCAAAGTTTCAATCCATTTTTATAAACCCTCGAAGAAAAAAGTGACAAAATTGATTTTGACTAGGGTCGCCCCTAGTCCAAAATTGAAAATGTATTTCATACTTGGTTCTTTGCTCATAAAAATTTTAGAATGTTTTATTTGCATTTGTTTTAAACACTAAAATATTTACGCAAAGTTTCAATCCATTTGGATAAACCCTCGAAGAAAAAAGTGACAAAATTGATTTTGACTAGGGTCGCCCCTAGTTCAAAATTGAAAATGTATTTCCTTCTTGGTTCTTTGCTCAAAAAATTTTAGGATGTTTTATTTGTATTTGTTTTAAGCACTAGAATATTTATGCAAAGTTTCAATCCATTTTTATAAACCCTCGAAGAAAAAAGTGACAAAATTGATATTATTAGGGTCGCCCCTAGTCCAAAATTGAAAATGTATTTCATACTTGGTTCTTTGCTCAAAAAAATTTTAGAATGTTTTATTTGCATTTGTTTTAAGCACTAGAATATTTACGCAAAGTTTCAATCCATTTGGATAAACCCTCAAAGAAAAAAAATGACAAAATTGATTTTGACTATGGTCCCCCCTAGTCCAAAATTGAAAATTGATTTTCTATGGTGTACTTTCGTCAAAAAATTTTTTTGGATGTTTTATTTGAATTCACATAATTCTGACATAAATCACATACCAATATTACTTTTTGTAATGCATAGCTTAAAAAAAACGAAATCTAAAATTTCGACTCCCCCATCTGAATTTTGTTCATACTCTTCACTGTGGAAACCAAAAAACAAATTCTTTATCTTCAAACACTTGACAAAATAGCGACATAATTCAGGATTAATTACTTTTTAATAATATTTTAACATTTACGAGAAAATGTGGTTCAAATAAGTGTGAAGGATGGCTGAGATTTGGACCAAAATCAGCTATACTGGTTCATAGTGTTCCCGAGGGTGACAAAATTCAAACTAAGTGTTTTTGTAGCTGACATAATTATGACATAAATTAGGTATAACTTTAGAACTGTGTCGATATGGGTCTCGGCCGTACTTCGGCCACCCTTCAAACTTATGCTGAGCAAATCTTGGTCTATCCATAAGACTTTTGATGGTACGGTGTGAATATATCCGAATTGGGTTTCTACCCGATACACTAGTTTGTTTAAATTTTCCACTAAAGCTGATACAATTTATCTAATGTTTTTTTTCCATTTTCTACCAGACACTGTATTTAAATGCTAGAGTCAACTTATTTGTTGAGATATTAAGATTCTTCGGTAAAATACTCCGTGACCGAAAATAGAATTTTACAATATTTATCCATTAAATTCTCATGTTTGCATCATGAAATGCATAGCAAATGGTATTTAAAGTGAAAAATCGATTCTTCGAACGTCAACTTTATGTCACGGAGAATTTTTATTTTCCAGATTCGTGAAAAAATTACCGAAATATCAGATCAAAAAATTCAAATACTACTCTTATTTTTGATTATTATGTAAATCTATTAATAATGATTAAAGCAGTAATTATTTTTGATGATTTTAGACTATTTTAAGCTTTAAAACCAAATCAATTTAAAAAAGATATTACCAAAAAATTTTAGCATCTAAACTCGAATAAGCTTGGATTAAAAAAGCTTATTTTTCAAAATTACATCATTCTGGAGAATTGCCCTTTTTTAACTTCTAAAAGCTATTTTAATACCTTATGGGCAATTCTACGAAAAGGTTTCATGAAAATAATCCGTGTCAATTGCATGAAATTTTTTAATTATTTTATTTTCACTTGTGCATAGTTTTTCAAAAATCTAATTCTCATTTCCTTTTCTATTGGTTAAACTGTGAATTATGATTACATCTGCGCTCAAATTACTTAGCTATGGCTTGAGAAATTCATGGTTTTAATTTTAATATTTGGTAGTTTTTTTTTGGAATTG